AACTAAGAAAAAACATTTTTTTTTTCAAAATTTTCAGTGGTTTTTGGTATGTTTAAGAAAAAAAAAAAAAAAAATTAAATACCACCAAAATAAAACTCGATCTGTCACAAAAAATTTATATAAAAATTTCATATGGGTACAGTGTTGCATGACTGCGCAATTGTCATTCAAAGTGTGACAGCGCTGAAAGCTGGAAATTGGCCTGGACAGGAAGGGGGTAGAAGTGCCCTGTAGGCAGGAAGGGGGTAGAAGTGCCCAGTAGGCAGGAAGGGGATAGAAGTGCCCAGTAGGCAGGAAGGGGGTAGAAGTGCCCAGTAGGCAGAAAGGGGGTAGAAGTGCCCTGTAGGCAGGAAGGGGGTAGAAATGCCCGGGTAGGCAGGAAGGGGGTAGAAGTGTCCTGTAGGCAGGAAGGGGGTAGAAGTGCCCGGTAGGCAGGAAGTGGGGTAGTAGAAGTGCCCTGTAGGCAGGAAGGGGTAGAAGTGTCCTGTAGGCAGGAAGGGGGTAGAAGTGCCCTGTAGGCAGGAAGGGGGGTAGAAGTGCCCTGTAGGCAGGAAGGGGGCCCTGTAGAAGTGTCCTGTAGGCAGGAGGGGGGTAGAAGTGCCCTGTAGGCAGGAGGGGGGGTAGAAGTGCCCTGTAGGCAGGAAGGGGGTAGAAGTGCCCTGTAGGCAGGAAGGGGGTAGAAGTGTCCTGTAGGCAGGAGGGGGTAGAAGTGCCCTGTAGGCAGGAAGGGGGTAGAAGTGTCCTGTAGGCAGGAAGGGGGGTAGAAGTGTCCTGTAGGCAGGAAGGGGGTAGAAGTGCCCTGTAGGCAGGAAGGGGGTATAAGTGTCCTGTAGGCAGGAAGGGGGTAGAAGTGCCCGGTAGGCAGGAAGGGGGTATAAGTGTCCGGTAGGCAGGAAGGGGGTAGAAGTGCCTGTAGGCAGGAAGGGGGTAGAAGTGCCCGGTAGGCAGGAAGGGGGTAGAAGTGCCCTGTAGGCAGGAAGGGGGTAGAAGTGCCTGTAGGCAGGAAGGGGGTAGAAGCGTCCTGTAGGCAGGAAGGGGGTAGAAGTGCCCTGTAGGCAGGAAGGGGGTAGAAGTGTCCTGTAGGCAGGAAGGGGGTAGAAGTGCCTGTAGGCAGGAAGGGGGTAGAAGTGGCCTGTAGGCAGGAAGGGGGTAGAAGTGCCCTGTAGGCAGGAAGGGGGGGGTAGAAGTGCCCGATAGGCAGGAAGGGGGTAGAAGTGCCCTGATAGGCAGGAAGGGGGTAGAAGTGCCCGATAGGCAGGAAGGGGGTAGAAGTGCCCTGTAGGCAGGGAGGGGGTAGAAGTGCCCGGTAGGCAGGAAGGGGGTAGAAGTGCCCGATAGGCAGGAAGGGGGGTGCCCGATAGGCGAGGGGTTAATCAGTACAGTAGTCGTCCGAAAATACAATACAATATAAATACACATTTTTTTCTTTTGTACGAGAATTTCCGTAAGTTTAGCACCCTTTTCATTCTGAATACGGAGACACGCATGCAAAAAAAAAAAATTAGTCTGACATTCATATCGTGTGTTCGGGGCACTAGACTTGCTACAGGTGCAACCAAAAATGGCGCACTTCCTGCGCAGTTTTCAAATGTTCCCGTAGGGCGTCATGTTCATTTTAATGGAAAAAGAAAAGAAAAGAAGACTCTTTTCTACAAATGTGCCACAACGACTCGCACGGGGTTGTCTGCAGATGTGTGGGGATTCCATGAACGATCAACGGCATTACTGAGCATCCGCTAATCGGCAGCGCATATCTCTGCATGTCGGGAAAGCGTGCGATTTTTACACGTTTTCCAGGCATGCAGCAATGCGAACCTAGCCGAAGGCTCCATTCACATCTGAGCGTAGCGTTTTATTAGCGTTTTTGCACATTTTCATACGACGTTTTATGCGTTTTTGAACTTCGGCGTTCTTTTATCAGCCAAAAGAGAAAAATATCATCTGTTGCATCGTTTGTTGCCAGGTTTTTCCTTTTTTTTTAGTTTTTCCATCAGCTTTAGTTGTTATTAAGTGTTCCTGCATGGCGACCACTTCCTGGTCCTGGTATTATTAGAGCCAAATGTACCCCCCTAACTCCTCCCTCCCACAGTTTTTACACCTCATAGACAGTAATATACCGAAACGTGCGGATTGTTCCCGATTGGTGCGCTATTACTTTGTGGAACGTTTCGCCAAATGGTTCACGAAATATCGGCGTTTTTGTGGTGAAATTGGTCCCATAGGAATGAATGGCGGAACGTTCAAAACTAGAGTGTGAGCTGAAAAATCAGGACATGATTTCTAAACTGCCATCACTCCCTCATTTTCAAGCCCACCTACACAAATCTTATATCAAAACGTTCAGCTATCCCTGCTGCCACTAAAAATGTCCACGGCTAAGCCATAGTCCTGATAGTTTTCACAATATGACCATTTGTTTGCAACTCACGCATTGACATTCATTGAAACTCCACTCTAGCCACCTCAAATTTGAAGGGCAGATTCTAAACTGCGACTGTGC